CAGCTCTCATCGGCTCTACAGCTACTGTCTACACCGCAGGTTAGACATCCTAGAGCAGCACTGCTTCTCTAAGCAGACACTAGCTCCTCTTCCTGCCCCAAGCACCACGTTCTACTGACCCCAACACACCCGTCCTGCCTCAGACGCCGCCCACAGCCCAGCAGTACCCCCTGCCGCTCCTCCTGATGCAGCCCCTGCTCCCGACGCGGCCCATGCGCCTGAGTGCGGACCCACACACCCATCTTTTCTCCCTCAGGTACTCCCTGCTACTGTCCTGCACCCTGCTGCTGTCGTGGACCCTGCTGCTGTCATGCACCCTGCTGCTGTCACGGACTCTCCTCCACTCCTGCTGACGCAGCCCCTGCTCCTGACCCAGGCCCACATACCCCAGCAGGCGCATCTGACGACTCTGTACCTGCCGTGAGGGAAGCACAACATTCATCGCCTCCACACACCCTTTTTCTCCCTCTCTACTCCCACAGATATTGTGTATCTAGACAGTTGTCTCCTCTGGCGTCCGGCTCATCCACGCCCTCGCCGTTCTACCTCACATGTGCCATGCAACCCTGCAGACAACAAGTCTCCTACACCGCCTGGAGGGAAGGGGGGAGTACTGTAGTGGATACCTCCCCTACAAACGCTGTTTGTCGCTGAGTAGCCGACCCCGTGAATTCCCCAGTGTATGCCTCGTGGTCTAGGTCAACCAGCGCTGCCATACATCACGGAGGTCAACTATTAAGCCACGCCTACCCCCACTATATAAGACCTGACCTCGTGGTGACCTACCTCTTCTTCTAGCTACAGCCGCAGCAAGCAACACCACCTCCTCCGCCGCTGCCTGGTGGCCCTCGCTCCCGCCGGCGAGCATGGCGACCCACAAGCTGTCCTCCTCTGAACACCCTCACCAACCAGCTCTTTCTACTCAACGCTTGTAACCATGCTGCCTTCTCAGCACCAAGCTGCATTGTACAACCAATACAATATGTATACAGAGAGCACATTGTGAGTTTCCTTTCTCCTGTAGTGGATTCCTCCCCTACAAGCACCGAACCTTCTCGAATTCTCCAGCCTACGCCTCCAGTGCCGCCCACAGAGCGGGGGTCAACTATCTACCCACGCCTACCCCCTCCTTATAAGGCCTGACACCGCTGTGACCACTCTCTTTCTACACAGTGCCACCAGCAAGCAACACCTCCTCCGCGCCAGCCTGGCGGCTGCCGTTCCCGCAACGACCTTGGCGTCCCTCAAGCCGCGTGCCCTCACTCTGGGCACCCTCACCACCCAGCCCTCTTTACTCAATGCTTATTACCATGCTACCTACCCAGCAACAAGCTGCATTGTACATCCAATACAATATGTATACAGTGAGCACATTGTGAGTTTCCTTTCTCCATCCCATCCTGAGTGTGAACTAACATCTCATACCCCTACAAATGGTGACCCCCGGAAATTCGCACTCACACAGGATGGAGGAGAAATTGATCACTCTCCCAGTCTTCAAGCAACATGGAAGACTGGCTTATCCACACAGAAGCAGCTCTCATCAGCTCTACAACTATTGTCTCTACACCGCAGGTTATACACCCTAAAGCAGCTCTGCTACTCTAAGCAGACAGCCGCTCTTCTTCCTGCCCCAAGCACCACGTCCTACCGACCCCAACACACCCGTCCTGCCTCAGACGCCGCCCCCGGCCCAGCAGTACCCCCTGCTGCTCCTACTGACGCGGCCCTTGCTCCGGACGCAGACCCACACACCCCTCTTTTCTCCCTCAGGTACCGCCTGCTACTGTCCTGCACCCTGCTGCTGTCGTGGACCCTGCTGCTGCCATGCACCCTGCTGCTGTCATGGACACTCTTCCTAACGCAGCCCCTGCTCCTGACCCAGGCCCACACACCCCAGCAGGCGCATCTGAGGACTCTGTACCTGTCGCGAGGGAAGCACAACATTCATCGCCTCCACAACCCACCTTCTCCCTCTTTTCTCCCACAGATCTCGTGTATGTAGACAGAGTTGCCCCCCCCCCCCAGCGGCCGGCTCATCCACGCCCTCTCCGTCATGTCCCACATGTGGCATGCACCGCCGTTCTGCCTCACATGTGGCTTGCAACTCTGCCAACCTCCAGCCTCCCGCCGCGCCTGGAGGGGAAGGGGAGTATTGTAGTGGATTCCTCCCCTATAAGCACCGAACGTTCTCGAATTCCCCAGCCTACGCCTTCAGCGCCGCCCACGGAGCGGGGGGTCAACTATCTACCCACGCCTACCCCAGCCTTATAAGACCTGACACCGCTGTGACCACTCTCTTTCTACACAGTGCCACCAGCAAGCAACACCTCCTCCTCCGCGCCAGCCTGGCGGCTGCCGTTCCCGCCAGCGACCTTGGCGTCCCTCAAGCCACGTGCCCTCACTCTGGGCACCCTCACCACCCAGCTCTCTCTACTCAACACTTATTACCATGCTACCTACCCAGCAACAAGCTGCATTGTACATCCAATACAATATGTATACAGTGAGCACATTGTGAGTTTCCTTTCTCCATCCCATCCTGAGTGTGAACCAATATCTCATACCCCTGTAGTGGGTTTCTCCCCTACAAACGCTGTTTGTCGCTGAGTAGCCGATCCCGCGAATTCCCCAGTGTATGCCTCGTGGACTAGGTCAACCAGCACCGCCCACGGAGCGGGGGTCAACTACTAAGCCATGCCTACCCCCCGCTATTTAAGACCTGACCTCGTGGTGATCTCTCTCTTTCTACCTACACCAACCAGCAAGCTACTCCACCTCCTCCGCCGCTGCCTGGCGGCCCTCGTTCCCACCGGCGAGCATGGCGACCCACAAGCTGTCCTCCTCTGAGCACCCTCACCAACCAGCTCTCTCTACATCACGCTTGTAACCACGCTGCCACTTCCCAGCACCAAGCTGCATTGTACATCCAATACAACATGTATCAGAGAGCACATCGTGATTTTTGAGTCTTGAACCAAACATCCCATACCCCACAAATGGTGACTCCTGGAGATTCGCACTCACACAGGATGGAGGAGAAACAGATCACGCTCCCAGTCTTCAAGCAGCATGGAAGACTGGCTTATCCACCCAGAGGCAGCTCTCATCGGCTCTACAGCTACTGTCTCTACACCGCAGGTTAGACACCCTAGAGCAGCTCTGCTACTCCAAGCAGAGACCAGCTCCTCTTCCTGCCCCAAGCACCACGTCCTACCGACCCCAGCACACCCGTCCTGCCTCAGACGCCGCCCCCGGCCCAGCAGTACCCCCTGCCGCTCCTAATGCAGCCCCTGCTCCCGACGCGGCCCATGCGCCTGAGTGCGGATCAACACACCCCTCTTTTCTCCCTCAGGTACTCCCTGCTACTGTCCTGCACCCTGCTGCTGTCGTGGACCCAGCTGCTGTCACGAGCCCTCATCCGCTTCTGCTGACGCAGCCCCTGCTCCTGACCCAGGCCCACACACCCCAGCAGGCGCATCTGAGGACTCTGTACCTGCCGTGAGGGAAGCACAACATTCATCGCCTCCACACACCCTTTTTCTTCCTCTCTTCTCCCACAGATATTGTGTATCTAGACAGTTGTCTCTTCTAGCGGCCAGCTCATCCACGCCCTGCCGTTATGTCCCACATGAGGCATACACCGCCCGTTCTGCCTCACATGTGCCATGCAACCCTGCAGACAAGTCTCCTACACCGCCTGGAGGGAAGGAGGGAGTATTGTAGCCAATCCCGCGAATTCCCCAGTGTATGCCTCGTGGTCTAGGTCAACCAGCGCCGCCCACGGAGCGGGGGTCAACTACTAAGCCACGCCTACCCCCCCGCTATTTAAGACCTGACCTCGTGGTGATCTCTCTCTTTCTACCTACACCAACCAGCCAGCAACACCTCCTCCGCCGCTGCCTGGCGGCCCTCGCTCCCGCCGGCGAGCATGGCGACCCACAAGCTGTCCTCCTCTGAGCATCTTCACCAACCAGCTCTCTCTACATCACGCTTGTAACCACGCTGCCACTTCCCTGCACCAAGCTGCATTGTACATCCAATACAACATGTATACAGAAAGCACATCGGGATTTTTGAGTCTTGAACCAAACATCCCATACCCCACACTCCTACACTCCATCCCATCCTGAGTGAGAACCCAAACATCTCGTACCCCACAACACTATAGAAGAAAAGTGTCTAAGAATTATCCAAACGATTGATTGCAACGGTAAAATCCCGAGATTTGGTTGGTGACAACTTAAGCATTAATACTCTCACGATCTTATGAACAGTTTTTACCTATTTTTGTTTTTTATAAATAATGGTTACTTTTGCACATGTATAACTATTATATAATATCTGGTAGAAAACAAAAATATTTTTACAACTGTTTGATTTTAATAAGCAGTGGTTCAATTTTTTGGACATGCATGTTATTTTTACTTGTAATTATTTATTAGCAGGTACGATTACCAAGCTCTTTTCTTTTTTATAAAACAATTGCTATTTTTGTATGCATATATTTAAATGTTCGTTTCTAATGGACAAAAACTTGTCAATGTATAAAATCTCCTAAATATGCACACAAATAATGATAACTTGGTTACTTCATAGGTAAAAATAATGTCCTATTGTAAAACTCTCTGAGGTGACAACTGTATAGATGATGAAATATGAAGGAAACAATCGAGGAGATTTCAAAGTATGGACAAATCCTGAATCATTTAAAACAAGTCTCGTTTACCTAAACAGCTAATAAAATAACTAGGGGTAAAGGAGAAAAGGTAAACTTATGAATGAAATTGAATATACTGCTATGATTTCTGACGGTGTTTATAGCATGCAGGTATACCAACAGCCGCGTATCTGGTGTTGAACATTTATTCAAGAAATAACTCCTAAATATATACAGAAATATATCATATGTTAAAAATGAATTAATTTAGTCATATGGACTCTTTTATCTTGTATAAGGGAAGTTTAAGGTCAAATGGGTTGACATTTGAAATAGTACAGGTGGCAGTTCTGACAGGAGTAAATAAACTAAACCAAGCGTTGTTGACAAGAATAAAAGTGACCTCCAATTGTCAGTGATAACAATAGGATTATCTTCATGTAAACTGTACAAGTGAAGACATAAATTAATTCATCAAGATGATGGGCACCAGGGAGAAAATGTTTGAAGACCTCCACTTTCCCTACTGCGACGAGGTCAGCAAATACGAAAAACTTGACAAAATTGGTCAAGGCACATTTGGGTAAGGAGAAATATCATTACTAGGGCAGAGTCATGATAGTAAGACACCCTGGCGGAGTTGATAAAGGAACACTGTCAGATATTGTGGTAAACTTCAGGGAGTAGAACCAGTCCATCAACTAGGAAAAACTGTTAGTTTGTTTTACTTGCTCACTATATAATTACACCTGCTGTCGCATTGAACATTTGCAGTAGAAGAAAAGTTGGGTTAATTTGTAGAAGATGGGCCACACTTATTAATAGAAACTTTTTAAAGAATATGCCAGATTTTACTTGTGACTGTTTACAGTACAATATATTGAAAAGCAACTGGCACATTTAAAAGTTACACTTCTGAAGCACAGGAAATATATATGATTAAAAATACATAACCTGAATTAAAATTACAGTACTGCTGAACATTTGCCTATCCATATCTGAGCCAAGTGTCACCTTTAAAAACGTAAAAATTCTGTAGTAGAAACAAAAATTCAACTTTTCATCACTAATCTCCTGAAGCTAAAGCTATTAATGTTGTGTATATTTATTAATACAATAAATACTTAAAATGACAAGTTACAGAATAAAGTTCAGTTCATTACAATTAGATGCAGGATACGGTACCTTAATAATACTGTACAGTGCTGTATTAACTCCTTCACTATGGAGTCATTACTTTTGATATTTTATTTGGCTAATGACAAACGATTTTATTCAGCTCAGAGGGGAACCTGTACCTAAGGGGTAAGGCATTTAAACACTATTAGGTTAGGTCATATAAAGTTAGTTTTGTGGTCTATATCATCAGCATATTTAGAACTATCACTTCCATCTCTCCTCCTCTGGACTTACTCTCTGTGTATTACAACAGGGTACAAGTACTTAAGTAAAATTCCCATAAAAAATAGATCTATATATTTAGGCAAAATCCTTAAATATCACAAGTTTTGTACAAGAGGGTTGCACTTTATTTTATAGCGACTGTATACTGTATATAGTTTTTCTTTACAGGATCTTTATTTATGCGTGTTGAGTATATGCATGGAAGACAAAAATGGTTTTAAATCAAGGAAAAAGAAAATAAACTATACAAATTCATCTCCAATGTAGAGCAAGGTCATGCATCGCCTACAATTATGATAAGGATAATTTTTCTCATTTTCTATCATTCTTGTGTGGTAGATTTATACTAAAGCTGTATTTCATCACGTAATCACAATCAAATAATTCCCCGTAACTAGTAAGTCTAAGGGATTAAATCAACAAGGGCCCAACTCATGTGACTTGGATCTAAAAATTTATTAAAATGAAAAAATTTAATTACTTGGTGCTACTATAGTGTGCATTCTACAAAGATATATCTAGTCTACAGAAGAATTTGGATAAACATAACCTAAAAATACTAAATCCCTAAGAAAATTTTGATAGTACACATTCTAAAATAGACGACAGTCTATTCTGTAGTGTAATTATGTTGTAGACCGCACACTGTAGTGTAAATATCTTTGTAGACTGCATGCTGTAGGAGCACCAGAAGGGAAGACTTTTCCAAGAACACTTCCCTAAAGTGAGGAAACCATATATTACAGTAGCTATATTTTATGTTTTGAGAGTGTGATAGTAACAGGATGGAACAGTGGCATATTTTTGTATACAAGAGGTGCCCGACTTATGAACATCCGACTTACGAATGCCTGCCAATACGAACGAGGTTAAACTTGAAATTTTTAATATTTTATTTACCTGATAACTTACTTTTTACTTTCATTTTTTTGTATTTTGTCATTCTATTTCTTCTTTTCTCTTAAATTAAGTGACTTTAGATGTATATAAGGACTTAGGCTATGATATGGTGGGATTTTAAACATTGTTTTGTGAGTACGGTCTGCACGTAGCAAGTGTTCCGACTCAAGACCGTCCTCAGGAACGGAACCCGTTCATAACCCGGTGACCCCCTGTACTAATGTTTATGCTTCCTTTCCTTCCAGTGAGGTGTTCAAAGCTCGACATAAAAAAACCAAGAAGGTTGTAGCCCTTAAGAAAGTCTTGATGGAAAATGAAAGAGAAGGTGTAAGTACAGTGGCTACAGTATTATGTTCAGTGTTCATTTATGACTCTATGGAAGACTTTCAAGCACACATTCAATACATATGCTTGTGCACTTGAACATGTGTGTGTGCTTAAAACACACACACACACACACACACAAATTTATTATGTACCTTTGTGAAATAAAATATCCGGAAATATGTTCAGAGAACTGACCAAAGGAAAGGTCAGTGACTGCATTGTGTAGATTTTGTTGTCATTAGAATTATCTCTAGATTTGCTTCGTGCTTGTTCAGTCTGTCATCAAGTAGTGGCCCAAATACTGTATTGTTGTTTTATTTAATTGTGCAATTACAGTCTGCTGTGATTTAGTGCATCATCAGGCAAAAATCTGTGCTGCTTTTCATGAATGTTAACAAATATAAATAGAAATTGTTTTGCCTTTTCACTGTTAAATTTTCTTTTGATAATGTAATTAATAAAAGAAGATTTTGTAAATGCACAGTCACTGTCCTGTACAAAAAACCCTATTATTTCAGTTTCCAATTACTGCCCTGAGAGAGATCAAGATTCTACAACAGTTGAAGCACGATAATGTTGTCAAGCTCAATGAAATATGCCGAACAAAACGTGAGTTTGTTAACACTTCTTCTCTATGATAGTTTTTTATTCTGCACAAAATCAAGCAAAAAATTTTACTGTACAATACCTTTAATTAATTATTTTTATAGCTATTTTATTATTACTATAGTTTGAAATTATAGTAATGAGGGATTAAACATTAGTATTGATGTACTGTACAGTATTTACAATGAGTAAACAAATACTGTATTGAGATCTTCGCAAAATATGAAAAACGCCTAAAAAAAATACTTATGTTCTTTTTGCTACATCACTTAGTTTCTATTAGTCACAAAATACCTTAAATAAAATACATTCTTGTTATGTGACTCAGTGTTATTCTATACAGCATCTGCATATAACCGATGGCGTTCAACCTTCTATTTGGTGTTTGACTTCTGTGAGCACGACTTAGCCGGTTTATTGTCCAACTACAACGTCAAGTTTAGTTTAGGGGAGATCAAGAAAGTAATGCAGCAGTTACTTGAAGGACTCTTCTATATTCACAGTAGTAAGGTATGACAGTATAACATAGCTGTGTTTTTAATTACTTTATATCAACATAAATTTTAGTGTTGTTTGTTCTGGATGTCTTTTGAAAATAGCAAAGTTGACTACTCAACAGTCTTATCCACAGTATTTTCACATCCTTTTACATATTCAAGTGGAAATTGCTGTTTTTCCCCAGCAGTCAAGTCATTTAGCCTTCATAAGAATCGGTGCATAAATACATAGTGTTGATATTTTGTAAATTTATGATACAGTATTACATTATTAAGTACAGTACAGTGCAGTACAGTACAGTACAGTGCAGTACAGTGCAGTGCAGTACAGTACAGTGCAGTACAGTACAGTGCAGTACAGTACCTCTTTGGTTGGATTTTATTTTATTTATGATATATTTTTTTCATAATAGAGTGTTGTACAGTAATTGGATACTTCACTGTAGTATTTGAGAAATTAAGTTTTTAGTTTATGTTTGGAAATCCAGAGTTAATATGCAGCACTAGGATGACAAGTTTCATGTTACCTTACCATATTTACTTTTAAAATTTTCTTCTGATACATTATTTTGCATCGTACCTTATTGTGAGATGAAGTTTTATGTGCAATTTGAAAGCTTAACATTTGTCATGTATTTAGGTACTACATCGTGACATGAAGGCAGCAAATGTACTCATTACAAAGTCTGGGACGTTAAAGTTAGCTGACTTTGGACTTGCACGAGCATTTTCTCAGAGAAATGGACAGCCAAACAGGTATTTAGATATGAATATTATTACTGTACTGTATTATCATTAGTTGTAATTTCTATACGGATTATTTGAATAATTAGTCATGGTGTCGGGCACTGTGACATTACTGTAGGTCAGTGCAGATTATTGTGTTGTGAAGGAGTGTCACCATCCATTGTGCCATTTACATGAGGGGTAATAGTTTTCTGTGGTTATAGATCATTCATCAAGCTCCCTCCTACAGAGCCTTCTTCAGGGGGCCGATAATATTCGGAGGCAGACACTGTCTAATGTGGATCACTGCCAAACTGTGTAAACAGCATCTTACCAAACATAACAGTGGTACAACTGTGTTTTGCAAAGTTCACAAAGTCAATTGATTTTGTTTGTTCCATGAATCAACATGGCAGGCCTGGCAGTCATCTTAAAGTTACCCAAAATTCAAAACTTTGGGTTTCAGTCAAAAATTAAACTATAGACACGTGCGTGGTGATCCCTTGAACTGTTTATTCCTTACATTTAGTTTTGATCAAATGGATAATTCTACATTTTGATTGATAAATATTTCCTGCACAATAATTTTACCACAATAATTTTACCACAATAGTTATGTCAAACTGCCAGTTAAATAACCATTGCAATAACAACACTGGAGGAACATTATGTATGGTTAAGTCCAGTGGACAGGCCATGGACTTGATGATGCCTGTACAGTACATATACTGTAAGTCCAGTGGACAGGCCATGGACTTGATGATGCCTGTACAGTACATATACTGTAAGTCCAGTGGACAGGCCACAGACTTGATGATGCCTGTACAGTACATATACTGTAAGTCCAGTGGACAGGCCATGGACTTGATGATGCCTGTACAGTACATATATTGTAAGTCCAGTGGACAGGCCATGGACTTGATGATGCCTGTACAGTACATATATTGTAAGTCCAGTGGACAGGCCATGGACTTGATGATGCCTGTACAGTACATATATTGTAAGTCCAGTGGACAGGCCATAACCTGTTATTGACTCCTATATTTCCTTCTTAGAAATAATATAACTTTTAAAGGAAATGTTATTAAGAGGTGAGATGAAATTGTTTTAACCAAGTCTCTGTTGTACTCTGACAGATACACAAATCGTGTTGTTACTCTTTGGTATCGTCCGCCGGAGTTACTACTTGGTGAGAGAAACTACGGCCCACCAATAGACCTCTGGGGAGCTGGTTGTATAATGGCCGAGATGTGGACACGAACACCCATCATGCAGGTACGTATGGTCTCACAAATTAATATGCAGTTGTAAATGTTTTTCTTGGTCTCACACTTATATCTACAACACTATTTTATTCTATGATGGTAATACAAATGTCCAATGTTCATATATGCACAACACTGTAATGTTTTATTGTTAAGTGTATTTAAAAAAAAATTATGTACAGTACTGTACACTTAGTGACTACCCATGTTAAGATCAAATATTGTACATTGGTAACTATACAGTTATAGTGCATAAAAGCATCAAGAAATAGGAGTACAGTACTGCACTATACTGCTGCCTGTTATTTTAATGGTGAGTACATTACTGCACTGTTAATGCCAGACCATTCTATTCAGCACAGAGAAGTCATCGTACACAAGGGATTAAGAGTATGCAAGTTTGTTAATGGGAATACAGTATATGATTAACTGGTACAGTACCTCCCTTACCAATAACAGAGACTTTTCCATATATAAATGCCAAGTACAGTAATAAAAATACACACTGTGTGTCATGCATTGTGACAGTGTTTTACCAGGATGAGACAGTTCAGGATTCATGTGTTTATTCTCCTTCATGTTGAGGCTTATCCTTCACATTGAGGCTCTTGCACTCACTATATATTCCAAGAGTTGAAGAGGGCTCTTCCTTCTTCTTGTTAGAAGATGTGATGTTTTGTGAAATATATTAAGAGTCATAACTCACACGTCTTTATCTCTTTACAGGGCAGCACCGAACAGCATCAGCTTAATCTCATTTCACAATTATGTGGTTCAATAACCCCTGAGGTGTGGCCGGGGGTTGAGAGCCTACCACTCTACGCTACCATGGAACTTGCCAAGAATCACAAGAGAAAAGTTAAGGAAAGACTAAAACCATATGTCCGTGACCCACATGCATGTGACCTCATTGACAAGATGTTAACTCTGGATCCTTCTAAAAGAATGGGTATGAAGAAGAAACTTCTCTTGATTTGTTAGTAAACAAGACAAAGTAAAATCTGTGAACAAATTTATAAAAACAAAAACAAAAACTCAGACTCACCGTCATATCCCACAATTTTTGGGTATCAACTCCCAGGCAAGAGGAGTTTGTTTCATGATTTAGTCCATGACACTGATGGAGGCGGTAGCCACTCCAGCAGAATAACACACTGCCGACTTGCCTGGTACTGTACAGGAGTAAAATTTTGTCATGTTAGTTTGTGTTTTTAGGAAAAATATTTCATTTTTTGTAAAGTTCTGTATATCATGAGTCTAAGGAAAACCACTTTCATGTTGATACTCCTTGCTGATATTATATTCTTAAATATTTATAATTTGTTTAGTACTGGTAAGTGTAATTTTCCTTTCTTTCCATAGATGCTGATTCTTCATTAAATCATGATTTCTTTTGGATGGATCCTCTACCGTGTGACCTTGGCAAGATGTTGTCCCACCACACCCACAGCATGTTTGAATTCCTGGCTCCTCCCCGTCGAGGAAAACAACAGCAGCAACAACAACAACAACAACAGCAGCAGCAGCAGCAGCAGCAGCAGCAGCAGCAGCAGCAGCAGCAGCAGCAGCAGCAACAGCAACAACAGCAACAACCACCACCACCACCACCTCCACCACAAGCAGGCCACTCATCTCAACAGCCAACAGCATCACAATCATCAGGGCAGTCTCAACAAGGAGGTTCTAGAAGGTCAGGTCACCGCCCATCTGCCTCATCTAGTGTTGCCAGTATGTCCTCTTGTCCAGAGAGAATATTCTAGTGAACTTGTCACTACCTTACACTATTATTTTTATGGATGTATTTATTTAACATTAGTGTTAGCCAATTTTTACATTGTGAAAATATGAAAGACAATTGTTTTGTTTTCCATCCTTCCTTTACAGTGCAAAAGGGGCCTTCTGTGGTTACAGATCTGTACAGTTAGCAGTTTCACATGTCAGTTACGTAGATCAAACAATATAAATCTGTTTTACTTTCGACAAAGTTTCTTCCATCCAGTAATTTTATTTACGTCCCAAACTATAAAAAAAATATACTGTATTTAGAAACAAATGCCAAATATTTCACCCAATAATAATTCATTATTTTTGCTACATAAGTTGTTAGGAATAGATTGTCCAGTACAGTACTGTACTGGCATATGAACTGCATTACAAACATGTCCATTTTTTTCATATTTGTGATGTTTGGCAGTTTGTACAAAACTGTACAGTAATAACAAATATATATATTTTTGTTCACCGTATATGAATTTATCCCCCCGTGTTGATAAACACTTGAAAATACAGCTTAAGTAAGAGTCAGTATTCCAGCTGCCTTTATTATACTGTATATTGCTCCGTACAACCATATTAGGAACCCCTTGTGAGAAGTTAAATAATCATTACCTGTATTGCTTTGATAAGCTTTACCTGAGTGGCTAGTCTGCCAATAAACAATGAAATGTGTTGCTTCAGTTGCTGCACTTTGTCTCTAAGAATTCTTCTCTTTTATATGTAATTTTATTTTGCTAATTATTATTTATTAAGCTACTACTTTGGATGGCTTACACTGTGTCTTCATGGCAAATGACAGTGTTTGGTAGAACTGCTCATAACATTTACTGGAATAACAAAAACCGTAACACTGTGTATTTATTGCTTCAGTTACTGAAACTTGTGCCCCTTTACCATGTAAACTGTGAGAGCTGTCACTGGTATATAAGGCAATAAGGAATACAGTATTAGGCTATATAAGTTAGGGTCAACATTTAAAAATTTTTATTGGATATATTTGGATATTTTTATCCATAGTACAGTATTTGGATGATACAGTAACTCTTATCTTTGTAACTTGGAATGAAGCAGTCCTTATATCTTTACACTGTACAGTACAGTACAGTATGAAGGAATCATGAAATTCTTTCTTTAGAAGCTAAAAATTTCTAAACTTTATTCTTAAGAACATAACACATTACAGTAAGTTCTCCTATAATGCCTGTTGTTGTAGTGCCATTTGGTTATAGCATGAAGGATATATTAAGGAACACATTTTATATAATGTGAATATACAATAATGCAACTTAGTAAACAGAACCATGTTATGTGGTCACCTCAGCGTAGCATTATACAAGTCGGGATGTACTGCCCTGTTTATCTTCCACACACACACATCACATGTCTGTTGCTGTGAACTGTGCTTTATTTTAGTATACATTCTCTACAATATCAACTTTATTGCCTTTAAACCTTAAAGGGCAATGGACTTCATACGAGGTTTGAAAGGAAAACACATAAAGGATGGCAGACGTCAAATGATGTTTAGGTCTCTTCGTGCCATCGTTTGAGTGCGCTCGTGGCTGTGTTCTTCTCTGGTAACTATGAAGATGCTGGTGGCTCATTCAAGAGCCAGAAAAACGTGTACTCCCGGTTCAACTCGTGATTACCCTAAGAAAATATTATTTCTCGTATTTATTGATTAAATATGAATTTGTAGAAAAGATTCATCTATCTCCTTTATGGATCATTCTATGTGTATTTGAACAACCTTATCTTAGGCGATTTGCTCCATTTTCTACAGAGCGGAAAGCACACGTAAATATACCCAGCAATAAATGGCTAATAATAATATATGGCAAAGTAGTGAAGCATTCTGATAGTGGAAGTGAAGTAAAACAAAGAAAAGCTAAACTCTTTAATACAAATTAAAGTAATAAAGTGGTATGAACTGTCAACAGACTGACTCCAACTCCTCCACCACTCATCTTACACAATCATCTCTTCTTGTGGTGAGTGTTAAAACATAAGTTTATTTACATTTCCTTTGGTTAAAAATGACTTGATTTAAAAAGGTTTTATCATTAAAAGCTGCAATGTGAATCACACTCCACTCTGTATTATTTTATCATGTTCGTTCTGCACCCACTTTCACGGCTCCATTTTTATTGCATGGCAACGTACACTAACACAAGGTAATTATAATTTTATCCATTTTTCATGCTTTTATTCTGTTAATGAATGATATTATTAAACTAAAACACAGTTTTTATAAGAGAACGAATAAAAACTAACAATAATCTAATAGTGAAAGTGGACCCCATGTTGGTGTTCTCAAAACTACTGCCCCATAACCCCTTAATTCCCATTGAATCACTGGCTACTATAACACGATTTTTCTATGGTGCGGTGTCTTTCAGGAATGCAGCTACCACGTTATAGGAGAACTGACTATTTTTACGCAGTTAATCTGACACGTATCGAGCACTTTTAATTATGTTTAGAAAGAGAAAATATGATATGTTACAATCAGACACCTGTACATGGCTGAATCTTTATAGAAGAAAAATGAAGTGTGTAATACTGTATTGTACTGTAATGCTTTCACTCACTTTTCTAAATGATGTTGTAGAGAAGACATCAAAACCTAACTGTCCTAAACTTGTTACAGTATCTTTACTATTTGCTGAAGTTCATAAAGTAATATCATATTTAATTAAACATTGCTACTTAAAATGTTACTGAACCTGTTAAGAAGAGTTAGGGACAAATATGGTATCTTCACAGTTGACCTCAAGATTTTTCCTATTAATGACAGCTGCCAGTTAAAGTCTTCAGCAGTATTTGTACATTAACCTTAATTTTCTAATTCTACCACTGCCTCTTTACCTATAGTATGTAAGGCATTTCTTCATGATGAAATTTAAGTGGTCAGCTTTAAATTTAAGTTTGCTTTTGCTTGATATGTCAATATGCAAAGAAACTGCCCACCACAAGTGTTTGTAAACAAAGATGCCATCATCACAGAAGGCCCCTTATCAGATATTCAAGAAGTAATAAGTATAATTTACACACTGTACTGTACTTTAAACAGTTTTAACACTGGTGGAACCCAATGCTTTAAAAGGTATATACAGTACTGTATACCATATGTGTTACTATGAGTAGAAATACCCATTTATGATACTGTGAGAATATTTTAGTAATTTTATAGATAGTCTTTATTTGTTGATGATAAAAGACTCTAATGTCCTATTTATATGGTAATACAGTAATAGAAATGAATTTATGTTCATTAGTTACCATTTAAGAATTGGTTAAGAGAACCAAGTGTCATAGACTTTGGGTAAAATTCTCCTCAAGTCTATTTTTGTGAAGCTATACTGTAGAGTGCAAGATTTTTTGAGCTGCATCAGTCAGCTCTATGAAAAACTATCCCAACTGACTGATCCACTGAAAGAACATTCAGACCAGCTTGTAACTTATGATTAATTCTTGGTCAACTTTGTGTTCCTTTTTTAAGTTAGGATATTATCTTGTTCCTTCAGCTGTTAGTTGTAACTAGTTAACTACCTGTGTATAAATTATTGGTGAGGTAATATATTAGGTTTATAGTAACATTATTACTTCATTTAGTAAAACCAGTATTACCAAGTTAACGGTAGATCACAGAGTTTGAAGTTTGTTTGTTGCAATACATAATGTTGTAGCGGAATACCTTAGTCGCTGTCATCCACCGTTTTTTTTTTTGTAATTTATCTCATCATTTCAAGAGTTTGGAGGAGTATAGACAAAAACTGGAAGGCACATATTGTACACAAAGTTCAAAAGGCAAGTGTGGCCTTTAGTACCTGATAGTGTACCTGTGTTTTTTTTTGTAAAGTGGCACCCTAATTCCTACTAGTCAGTGAGCAGTTGATACATAACTATGCCTATAAGAGTACAAAAATCCTTTATATCATATGTAAGGTTACTTCAAGCATTTGGAAAACATTTTAGAATTAAGTTTGGCATTTATCAGATTTGAATTATGTATAAAGTAATTTCTTTAGTTGTACTGTACATACTCAGACATTCTATTTTTAGATTTATAAGAACTCTTCATGATATGGGTAAACAATGGTATAATTACCCAAATTTATCTTTGTACAGGTGTGTATATATATGTGTGACTCAGAAATAAGTATTGGGTGCCCACATCTCCCAAAACCAAACAAGTGAATACTGTATGATGATTTACCACAAACTTTTAAAAGAAATAATCCAATTATAATTTCTCTTTATTGATTACCGGTTATAAATATAATTCAGATTACTATTAATTTACAATACTGTATATATTTACTTTGGGCATGTATAGTGCCAGTGACACTGCCTTTAGATGAAAGTATTATTGAAGAAAGGACTAATTATGTACAGAATGATAAGATATTTTATTTACATGTTGTTAACTGAAACTGTCACACACACATAATAATAAATGATCAAGTTTTACCCCCATACACAACCTCATAATAAATACCTTTGTAGTTCTCCTCTTTTATATAAAACTCTAAAAATTATCTAATAATTTCCTCAACAGACTAAAATACAATGGAAAATTCTCACTCAAGGTAAATTATTCTTGTGAATTTAAAATACAATAAATGGACAAATTAACTACAAGGTATTTTTTTTAGTCACTCTTCCATACGGTAGAAGGGTAAAATGTATACTGTAGAAGGGTAAAATGTATACTGTAGAAGGGTAAAATGTATACTGTAGAAGGGTAAAATGTATACTGTACTGTCTAAGGGTCCTGAAGAAGATTACTGTAGGAGAATATAAAAGCTAATTAGTGAGTAAATAGAAAGAGATGAAAATAAATAATTAAACAAAGTGATAAATTATACGGTTGGGGAACCACCAATGACGTCACATCAATGGACCATGTTTATTCAAAGGCTGGGGAGGTAACCTGGAGGCTGGGGAGGTAACCTGGAGGCTGGGGAGGTAACCTGGAGGCTGGGGAGGTAACCTGGAGGCTGGGGAGGTAACGTGGAGGGTGGGGAGGTAACCTGAGGGTGGGAGGTAACCTGGGGGTGGGGAGGTAACCTGGAGGCTGGGGAGGTAATGTGGAGGCTGGGAGTGTGAGGCGGGGAGGAAACCTGGAGGCTGGGAGGTAACCTGGAGGGCTGGGGAGGTAACCTGGAGGCTGGGGAGGTAACCCGGAGGCTGGGAGGTAACCTGAGGCTGGGGAGGTAACCCGGAGGCTGGGAGGTAACCTGGAGGCTGGGAGGTAACCTGGAGGCTGGGGAGGTAACCTGGAGGCTGGGGAGGTAACCTGGAGGCTGGGGAGGTAACGTGGAGGCTGGGGAGGTAACTTGGAGGCTGGGAGGTAATCGGAGGCTGGGAGGTAACCTGAGGCTGGGGAGGTAACTGAGGCTGGGGAGGTAACCTGAGGCTGGGGAGGTAATGTGAGGCTGGGAGGTAATGTGGAGGCTGGGGAGGTAACCTGGAGGGTGGGGAGGTAACCTGGAGGCTGGGAGGTGAACCTGGAGGCTGGTGAGGTAACCTGGAGGCTGGGGAGGTAATGTGGAGGCTGGGGAGGTAACCTGAGGGTGGGAGGTAGCCTGGAGGGTGGAGGTAACCTGGAGCCTGGGGAGGTAACCTGGAGGCTGGGGAGGTAATGTGGAGGCTCGGGAGGTAACCTGGAGGCTGGGGAGGTAACCTGGAGGCTGGGAGGTAACCTGGAGGCTGGGAAACCTGGAGGCTGGGGAGGTAACCTGGAGGCTGGGGAGGTAACCTGGAGGGTGGGGAGGTAACCTGAGGCTGGGAGGTAATGTGGAGGCTGGGGAGGTAACCTGGAGGGTGGGGAGGTAACCTGAGGCTGGGAGGTAACCTGGAGGCTGGGGAGGTAATGTGGAGGCTGGGGAGGTAATGTGGAGGTGGGAGGTAACCTGGAGGGAGGTAACCTGAGGGTGGGAGGTAACCTGGAGGTGGGGAGGTAACCTGGAGGCTGGGAGGTAACCTGGAGGCTGGGGAGAGGATGGAGGGTGGGGAGGGTAACCTGGAGGGTGGGGAGGTAACCTGGAGGGTGGGGAGGTAACCTGGAGGCTGGGGAGGTAATGTGGAGGCTGGGAGGTAACCTGGAGGGTGGGGGAGGTAACCTGGAGGCTGGGGAGGTAATGTGGAGGCTGGGGAGGTAACCTGGAGGGTGGGGAGAACCTGGAGGCTGTGGATGGATGGGAGGTAACCTGGAGGGTGGGGGGGAGGTAACCTGGAGGCTGGGAGGTAATGTGGAGGCTGGGGAGGTAACCTGGAGGCTGGGGAGGTAACCTGGAGGGTGGGAGGGTAACCTGGAGGGTGGGGAGGTAATCTGGAGGCGAAGATGAACTTGGGAGTAACCTGGAGGCTGGGAGAACGAGAGGGCCGTGGACACATGCATGGGGGCTTGCTGTTATCTGTGACTGGCAGGAAGTTATTCAATATAACGTGACTCCAACAACATGCAGACCATGACAGCCATGCAGGCCATGAGAGCCATGCAGGCGCAGCCATGCAGGCCATGGCATGAAGCGAAAGACTGATATATACGTGCAGACCGCAAGAGGCGTGCAGGCCAACAGGGCGTGGGGAGACACTAGGCGGACTTGGCCGTCATGATCGATAAGACTGCAGGGATGTGCAACCTGACCGTCTGCCACACGCCGTCCTTACCCTGCTGCTGCTACTGCTGTCGGGGAGGTAACGAGAGGCAGAGAGGCTGGGGAGGTAACAGAGGAGGCTGGGGGGGGTACTGAGAGCTGGGGGTAACGAGGGAGGCTGGGGAGGTAACGAGGCTAGAGTGGCTGAGGAGGCTGGGGGGGAATGAGGAGGCTGGGAGGTAATGAGGAGGCTGGGAGGTAACGAGGGAGGCTGGGGTAAATGAGGAGGCTGGGAGGCAACGAGGAGGCTGGGGGTAACGAGGAGGCTGGGGAGGCAACGAGGAGGCTGGGGAGGTAACAAGGAGGCTGGGAGTAACGAGGAGGCTGGGAAAACGAGGAGGCTGGGGAGGTAACGAGGAGGCTGGGGAGTAACGAGGAGGCTGGGAGGTAATGAGGGAGGCTGGGAGGTAAAGGAGGATGGGGTAAACGAGGAGGCTGGGAGGTAAATGAGGGAGGCTGGGGGGGTAACGAGAGGCTGGGGTAACGAGGAGGCTGGGGAGGTAACGAGGAGGCTGGGAGGTAACAGGGAGGCTGGGGAATGAGGAGGCTGGGAGGTAACGAGGAGGCTGGGGTAACGAGGAGGCTGGGAGGTAACGAGGAGGCTGGGGAGGTAACGAGGAGGCTGGGGAGGTAACGAGGAGGCTGGGGTAACGAGGAGGCTGGGGAGGTAACGAGGAGGCTGGGGGTAACTGAGGAGGCTGGGGAGGTAACGAGGAGGCTGGGAACAGGAGGCTGGGTAACGAGGAGGCTGGGGGGTAACGAGGAGGCTGGGGGAACGAGGAGGCTGAACGAGGAGGCTGGGGTAAACGAGGAGGCTGGGGAGGTAACGAGGAGGCTGGGGGTAACAAGGAGGCTGGGGAGGTAACGAGGAGGCTGGGAGGTAACGAGGAGGCTGGGGAGGTAACGAGGAGGCTGGGGTACTGAGAGGCTGGGGGGGAATGAGGAGGCTGGGGAGGTAACGAGGAGGCTGGGGTAACGAGGGAGGCTGGGGGAGTAACGGAGGCTGGGGGTAAAGAGGAGGCAGAGAACGAGGAGGCTGGGGGGAGGTAACGAGGAGGCTGGGGAGGTAATGAGGAGGCTGGGGAGGTAACGAGGAGGCTGGGGAGGTAATGAGGAGGCTGGGGAGGTAACGAGAGGCTGGGGGTAAATGAGGAGGCTGGGGAGGTAACGAGGAGGCTGGGGGGTAACGAGGAGGCTGGGGAGGTAACGAGGAGGCTGGGGAGGTAACTGAGGAGGCTGGGAGGTAACGAGGAGGCTGGGGAGGTAAACAGGAGGCTGGGGAGGTAACAAGGAGGCTGGGGGGGTAACGAGGAGGCTGGGGAGGTAACGAGGAGGCTGGGGGGGTAACGAGGAGGCTGGGGCAACGAGGAGGCTGGGGGGTAATGAAGAGGCTGGGAGGTAACGAGGAGGCTGGGGAGGTAACGAGGATAGCGTGACACATGCATGGAGGGGAAAAAGAGCCTATGCAGCCCCTGGAGGCGAGTTCAAGGTGGGTGTATAAGGGGCTTGTTGTAGGACTATTACGGGGCGGGGCGGGGCGGTGTTGTGTCTCTGGCGTCCCACCATGAGCCCCTATTACTCAGTTGCCAGAATACCACAGCCAGACGGCCTTAACTTAGAGCCTAGCGACGCTCCCACACTGAACCCCCTGTAGTGTGTCTCCCTGAGCCCGTGTTAATAATAATAGTCATCAAAAACAATGGAGGATTAATGATGCTTAGTGAAGGGCAGAATGAACAGCTCCGCTGAATAAATCAATCCAAATAACGGAGATGGGGAGGAGGGAAGCGAGCAGGCTACGGTGATGACTTTACTCACCGTGATAGTGCCCGTAGAGGTGAGGTAACCTGTCCTCATCATCCTGGTCGGTGAGGGTGGAGTCAGGGGTGGTTGGAGGTAGGGGAGGCACGTGTGCTGAGGTCATGCGACCAGCCAGGCAGACGCCGGCCAGCCAGACAGCCTGACTCCCTCCTCCTCACCCATCACCCCCACCAACTGCTCCCTCATCACGCCCACACAAACAGTAACTTCCATGACTACATTACACAGTTGTTTACGATAATATCCAATATTTCGACCCGACAACAAAACAGGTCAGGTCATGTTAGATAACCCGTCTTCAAGAGCTCAACAACACTGGATATTGTAATTACACCTGCTACATAAACTACCTCGTTAACCATATAAAACTGTCACCAGGCACTGTAGGTCCTCTCCACTCCACCTAAAGATTGACCTACCCTACCCTACCCTAACACCCCCACCCCAAATAGTGTTAGGGTGGTTAATCTTTAGATGAAATACGAGGAGGAGATTCTTCAGGTGATCCAGTCAGTCCTAAACACACACACACACACACTAAACACACCACGTCAATTTAATTTACATAGTGGACTTATTTATTTGTAAAGTATTATATAATACGTCCAACACACACACACACACACACACACACACCTGTCAACTCAGCACACATGCGGTTCACTGCAGACTTCCCCTTAGCAGGACTGAGCTTTATATCTTCAGCCGGCCATTGCGACACACGCCACCAGCCTCATACCCTAGGAACACTTGTGTACTATATAATATTAATGGTGTTACGAGGTTAGTTGTTAGGTTAGGTTAGAGGTTAGGTTAGGTTTAAGTGTGTAGTGTCGATCCTCATAGCGTTACCCCACACCTCATAATGTGGGAAATATTTCTCGTGTTTTCTTGACTTCCCTGCATGACTCCGGGCGGGTGATCAATAAGGGACCAGACACACTACTGCAGGTGCTGCCTCACTCACACCTCACACTTAACCTCATCCTCACACACTCACACCTCACACTTAACCTCATCCTCATCCTCACACACTCACACCTCACACTTAACCTCATCCTCACACACTCACACCTCACACTTAACTCATTCTCTCTCACTTCCCAACCCTCTCCCAAGCCCACAACCTGGTGTGGTGTGTGGTGTGGCGTGG